GATGCAGTTCAGGACTCAAAGATAAAACCTGGCAACTCTTACGGAAATCTGGAAAGCAACAGTGGGTTGCAGCTTCGCCTTCCAGCTGCGTTTGCTGAGCAAACCAGCAGCAGCCCTTGCAAGCTAGCTGTGAGTACAGAGGTAACTGGAGGGGCCAATGGCAGGCGCTGTCACCCACTGCTGTCCGAGGGGCTCCCTGGCCAATCTCTTCCCTGTTGGCTCAGCCTGAGCTGCTTCCCCCAGCGGGAGGAAGAAGAGGAGAAAGCTTGGTGCAAATGCTCAGCTTTCCAAGTGCACCCAGAGGGCCCAAGGTGGGCGAGTTTCAACAGGTTTGGGGAGCACTGTCTTGTCAGATGCTTGCTGAGTTGCTCAATTGCTAATCCAGGGCTGAGGGAAGAAGTCAAACCATATTGGACAGCTGGGTTGCGGCTGCGTTGCGGCTGCTGCCTGAGCAAACCCCGCAGGCAGAGCCTGGTGACGGGGTGTTTGGTGGAGGGGTGAGAAACAGCTCATCCTGGCTCAGAGGGTCTACCCTGGCTGAGCCAGGAGAGGCGGGGCTGTGGGTCTGCTGGGTGATGGCCCCACTTCCTGATTCCTACCATGGCCCATTTTAATGTCACCTGAGCCTTGGGGGCAGTGGAAGGGAGTCTCCCTCCTACTTGCAGTCTTTGAAGATGGCCACTCTTTGACATATAGAAGGGCACAAGTCCTCCTTTCATTCATCCACCCAGGGCCGCCTGAGGATCCGCTGTGTGGCAGCCCAGTGCCAGGCACGAGGGGATGCTCAGAGGCCCTCATGCCCGAGTTTCTTCCTCCTGAGCAGCAGAGCCACCCTGCCGAGCTGTTGGATGTGACACGGTTCTACAGGTCGGGCTGAAAGCCAGGAGACTGGGGCATGTGAGAGCAAGTCAAGTTCAAGTCCTGCTTCCTCAGAGAAGTCCCTGCACCTCTGGGCCTCTGAAGTGGGGCTGGAAGCTGTACCCACTCCTCTCCGGAAGTGGAGGGGGAGGGGGGATGTGTGGCTAAAGCAGAGCAGTGGGTGGCATTCATTCCCAACATGGGAGTGTGCTTTTGCCCTCCAGGGCACATTTGACAATGTCCACAGACAACTTTGGTTGTCCCCAGGTGGGAGGCAGTATGTGAGCCCCTGGCATCCCATGGAGGTAGAGGCCCAAAGTGCTGCTAAACATTTTACAGACCCTTAACAAATAATTATCTGGCCCCAAATATTAATGGTACCAAGGTGGGGAGAAATTCTAGTGCGAACTGTAAAGTGCTATGGGTGTGTTTATGATTATAATTCACTGCTCAGAGTCACTGGGGGAGCTCCCAGGAGATGGGTTTTTATTCTTTAGAGAGGAGGGAGGGCTTCTTTTTAGCTGGGGACTGGTAAGACATTTCCTGGGGACACATCTTTGCTTGTGGGGCTGGCACTGCCTGTACCTGGATGGGCAAGTGTACCCCAAGTTCTGGGCCTCATTGCCCCCAGCGAAGGGAGATACCCAGCCCTGATGGAGCTTTGCCCGAAGACGCATCCCTGTGGCACTCAGAGCCAATAAGGTGTGTGATGCCTCCTTCACATGCTGCACTGGCACTGCAGGGTGCTCCCAGGGATAACTTTGCTTGTGTGCCAGGATAGACAACTCTGGCTGTGTGTGGGATCTACGAGGGCCCTGGCTGAAGAGCAGGGAAGTGGTGGCCTAAGCTCCTACTTGTGTAAGATCACAGGATGTAGACAGGACGGTATGGGACAAACAAGTTAGGAAGTAGCCTAGGGGCCCATTTTCTCTATCATCCCTATAAACAGGGACACAACTGCGAAGCTCACGGATAGGATCCTTCAGCCTCCAGCAGCTTCCACGGCTACCATTTCTATCAGCATGCCTGGCACTGGGCCCAACACAACACATGCGCTTTCTTCCCAACTACCATTGTGTACCAATTATGCCAGTGGGTACCGTTTTACAGATGAGGCCGCAGAAGCTGTGACAGATTGAGTCATCTATCCTCAGCTGCAGTGATAGAGCTGGGGTGGGATTCTAGGCTATCAGTTCCAGAGACCCAGCTCTCTCTGTCAACTCCACTGGTCTGGCTTAGGGTGCTGATCAGGTATCACTGCTTTCCCCCAGATGCCCACAGTAATGAAACTTTAGCTTATCTATTCCCTTACTCTTCCCAGTACTTCCATTTGGGGTTTAGAACAAACTGCTGAGGACTGTGGCCAAGGAAGAGGCATGTGGCACGGAGCTGGGACTGGAACCCTGGTCTCCTGGGTGCAGCCTCAGTGTCCCTCTGGGTAGAGGGGCCATTCAGAAACATTTCTGAGCCTGTATCTGTGGCAGGGCAGTCCTTTGAGGGCAGAGCCCAGGCCTTCCTTTCACCAAGCAACTGTGCATCCCTCCTGCCACGAGCTGTCAACTTATTTTGGTGCCAGATGTGCACCTAATCACCAGATTTCAGGTTCTCGGGGTTTGCCCAGGCCTCAGGCTGCAGAGCTCTTCCAGATCCAGGCTCTGTCTTGCTTAACAGCTGTACACAGCAGGACACCTGGCCTCTCTGCCAGGTCACTCTCCTGGGACAACAGACAGCACCAGCTCTTAAGCCGGCCAGCCCGCCAACCCTGGACACAAGCCTGTCTCCAGGTATTGGCAGGGGGCAAGACACTCAGGCCTTGTGCCTCAGTGCCAGCCATCCTCTTGGGGCCAGATCTCTAGCTTGACTCACCCTTGAAAAGACACTGGGGTACCAATAGGCCCGGATGGATAGCTGCCTCCCAGAAGCTGTTCCTTGCAGAGTCAGCTTTGGGTCAGACACCTTTGCCATGTACTAGCTAGGGGTCTTAGGGCAACTGCTACCTCTGTGACCCTGAATCTTCTCATCTGTAAAGTGGATTTTATTTGTTTGTTTGTTTGTTTTTTATTTGTTTTTTTGAGACAGGGTCTCACTGTGTAGTTGAGACTGACCTGGAACTCACTACGTAGCCCAGGCTGGTCTCGAACTCCAGCGATCCTCCTGCCTCAGCCTCCCGAGTGCTGGGATTACAGGTGTGCACTACCATGCCCAGCTGTAAAGTGGATTTTAAATGTAATCAGAATTTAGATATTACAGTGGGAGTTATTGTTATAATTATTATGTCATGATTCGACAGTCTTCAGGCCAAGTCCCCTCTGTGACTGCTGCTCATGCTCAACTCTGTCCCCTGAGAGCTAAGTGGCATGCACACCACCACCCATTCATGCTTTTGCATTTATCCTGTCCTTTCACCTATACCTTGCTCCCAGGAGGCATGCTGTGACACCTATTTGCTCCAGGGCTGGGGATGAAGGAAGATAAGTACTCAGCAGTAACCCTTGTGGTGGTGGGGAACTGTGCCTGGGGTGTCTTCTTTGGAGCCCTCTGGTTCCGTAGGGTCCTGGGAGGCCCCTTTGCTCCTCTTGCCTGGAGCTGAGCAGAGACCCTTGGCTCAAAGCCCGGGTGCAGCAGGAGTGAGCTGGGTCATCCAAAGCCCTGCTGCATGGCAACCTGAACCATCACAGTTGTAGAGAACAGGTTTGCCAACCTCGTCTCCCTCCAGGCTGCCCTTCCTCACCCACCCCCCACGGCTCAAGAACTCAGCTGCTGGAATTCCCTGTGGTTGCTCCCCAAAGCCTGAAGCTGGGTTGCCTCCTATGGGGCAGCCTCAGAAGGTGTAGGATCTCCCTGCCTGGAAGTCAGAGCACCTGGGTTCAGTTCTTGGCTCTGAGTTTGGCAGGCAGCTTCTCCTCCCTGGGGCTCAGCTTCCTCTTCTTTAAAGGGGTCCACAGACTAGGTGTCCTGAAGGCCTCTCCATTGCAGGGTGTCCCTATATTCCTTGGAGACCTGGCTCATGTGCTCAAATCGCTACTTTCCCCTCTTTTTGCAGCCTTCAGTGTGCGGCAGACAGACCCCGCTCCTTGTGCCTCCTGATGCTCAGACTTGTTTTAGAGACCCCGGGTCTGAGCCCAAGTACTTAAGAGCTAGTTCCAGAGACTTCAGGCTCTCCCAAGTTCAAACTCAGCTCTGTGATCCAGGCCCTGCTTAGGGGCAACCTGCAGGGGGACAGAGGGAGGAGGTGGTAGAACCCTGGTTTCTGTACACTCCGACACCGCTCCCGAAGTGTTAATCAAATTAAGCCTCCAAGAAAAACAAAAGCTCCTCAGCCACTTTGGGAGTCACTGGCTCTCGGAACAGCTGGGAGAATTCCACATCACCTCCATCCCCCAAACCCTGGGTGGCTCTGACCCCAACGAACACACTCCTTCCAGCCTGCAGGGCCCCGGCTGGCCACAATGACCTCATAGCAACAGCCATTGGACACTGGGGGCAATTTCATGGGAGATATTTGTTCTTTGGTCTTGATGCAGAGAGAATTTTTTCCTCTCCTGCGGTCTCCATGGAAACCCCAGCTACACTGTTGGCTATCCCCCTTCCCACCTCATGCTTTTCAGATCAATATTGGGGCTTGGCTCCCCACTGGTGGACCCACAGCTGCTGGGGGCAGAGCTCTGGGCAAGAGGAGCTAGGGCCAGGGTTAAGCCTGGGGCATGGGGAAGTGTCACTGAGGAGCGATGGAGTCCCAGGTCCTCTTGCTCCCTATGACCCCAATTCACGGCAGCTCATCCCTTTAGCTCCCCTTTCCTCCCTAAGCTTCTACCCCTTCTAAGGCAGCCTTCTGCGCACAGACCCAGAGAAGGAGAGACAGGTCGCCAGGGGCTACCATCCCATTTCTCCCGAGTGAGACCAATGGAGGTGGGTGGGGGCTGTTGTCCTCTTTGAAAACCATACTTTCTTCCTGTCCCAGGAAAACCAGGTCGGGGCAGAGCCAGCCCCGGGCTCTCAGAGGCTCGGTGTCCCGGTCCCTTCCCTCCTTCTGTGCCTGCCCCCCCCCACCAGCAGCAGAAACAGGTCCCTGCAAGCCTCCAGCACAGCCCGAAGCGCGCGCAGCTCCTCGCAGGAGCTCTCCCAGACGTCTAGGGATTAACCTGTTATTATGTCCCGGAGCTCTTCCCCGTAAGTTGCTTCTCTGCGATCTGTCACCTCTGTGGGCTGCACCTGGTGGCACCCGCACTCCTGTGCCGCCGCCCCGTGCTCGCACTCCGTGCGCCCTCGGGCGCCCAGGCCGCCTGTG